TTTGCAATTAACCATCATATCTTAAGATGGGGAAATTTAAAATCAAATTATCGTATAAGCCTTTTCCACGGTGAGCTTGAATGAAATTATAACCAAAATACAAGAAACATAAAGTAAAGAAGAGCATTGGTACCATGTTATTGGCATGTAAAAAAGAGTTTGCCTTTATGAATGAAAATCATGAAGAATGGAAACCCCAAACTCTTTTTTTTAATATTCTTGGACTGATTATAAAGGGTAGTGTCTGTTCAGATTTTTCTTTGTTTCTTGAAAATGCACACATACACGGTATAGATTCAGTTGCTTGAGTCTATGACCTATAGAAAGAACAATACTCTTTTACCATTAAAGTCGTTCAATGAGTTCCTTTAAACACTTTTATTTCTATCATGATTCTTTTGCTATCCTTAATTTTGTCATTGCTCTAATTCAAGCGCTCCATAGTTGTTATTATTCTCTATCTTTGTTCATGTGAGCTCTATTATATAGTTATGTGTTATATAAATAATCAAACGTTAATTGGAAGTGAAGTAAGCTGGATAAAATATAGGTTGGAGTTCTTTTCTTTTTCTAAATTTGAAATATCTTAGAAGTTAAAATTTATTTATTCATGAAGAGTGAATCAAAAGAAAAATAATACAAACTTTTACTTTATGAATGATAGATTAGCCCGTGAATCCCCAAGATCCTTAATCCCCAGCAGTGTAGGTAACCTGACGAAGATCTTGTAACGAAAAACTCAAAATGGCTTTATTCAACTTACACACAACAGTTTTAGGATTACCTTCCTCATATCCAGTAGGTTGACTCGTATATCTCTTCGACCAAGTCAATGTTTGAAATTATGTCAACTTGACGAAGATCCCACTTTTTCGTCACATTTAAGGATAAAATTGTGTGAATTGCGGTCGGCTTCACCACAAGACTAAAGGTCTCATGAGAATCATACCCAAACTGTCGAAGAAAACCCTTAGCCAACAGAGGAGCTTTATATCGAGCAACTGCCCCATTAGGATTCTTCTTCAATTTGAAGATCCACTTACAACCAACAGCTTTGCGATTGATTGGCAGTTCAGTAAATGTCCAAGTATTATTTCTCAGAAGAGTCATATATTTCTATTCTTGATAAATTCATATGAACTATAAATGTAGTGACTTGTAGGGAAATGTGTACTTGATGTGAGGTGTGGCAAATTGCACGAATTAATCTATAAGAGATGAATTTGACGTTAGAAATTGTTATAAATTATACAAAATGATGTATGGATAATACTATTGGCCTTAAAGGTCAATTCGGGTGATCATAGAGGATGATTAGAGTCATGTTAGGATGATTTTTCGGACTTAAGATTCAATTATGTATTTTTGTATTGATATTGTTCTTACAATATTGATATTCATTGAATTTTATAAGGAAATCTGGACAATTTAGGCATAGAGTGTCAATACATATTTATGTGATATCGATATCATGTATTGAGTATCAATATTGGACAATATCAAGCTATTTTTTGGTATCAATACTTTTATAGTATATTTTATTCCATGAGATTCGATATCATTACCTATAAAAAGATATCAGTGCATACTTAAATTAAAATTTTAAATTAAAAACACCATTGATGAATATATAAAATCTAACTTAAGAGTTGTTTAAATTTCTATCCAGAAAAGAAAATCCCTAAATTCCATAGATCTAATGTGAAACGGGTTTGAAACCCCGAGATGTCCCTTAACAACTAAGGAGGTCTTTCGATTTCAAAAGTTGTGAGACCGTTTTTGACCGGACTTAAAAAATATTATAATAATGATTATTATTATAATTATTAATTGTTATTTTTACAATATTTGCAGGTCTGCTATAAACCCAACAGTCCAATACAATACCCAGCCCCGGTTTTGGCCCAAGACTTGAAGATAACAGCTGACCCAAATCAGATTACAACTCAAACCCAATACCAGGCCTGGATTGGACCAAACCCAATGTAACTAGGGTGTTCAAAACCCTAGCATACTCTCAAGCTAGATGCAGCCGCCAGTGACAACCTCTCCAACTGCCGCAACAGTGAATGCCGCCGTCATTCCTTTGCGAATGAGCAACCGCCGCACGCTCCGGCCGAGTCACCAACAAGGCTACCTGCGTCATTGCATGCGTCAAAAACAACCAAGACACTCAAGGATCAGACAAAATCCACTCAAATGCCACTTGTCGAAACGATTTTTAACCGGTGGGGGCGAGATTTTTTAAAACAACATCATTTTTAATTATTCTCTTTTCGATTGAATTTTAATTAAAAACAATGTGATTTTTTTAGAAAACCTCTCGTTTCGAAAATTTGGAAATTCCTTTACGATAAAAATATGTGGTTCGAGGAGTCGCCACCAATCTTTGATTAGGGTGTAATTGGGCACCCAAAAATGTTGTCGTTTTAAATAAAATTAATTTTGATTAAAACGACAAATCTGCGGTCTATGTTACCAAAATATGGGTTCGGGAGTCGGTTACGCGTGGGGAAAGATTAGCACCCCCACAACGCCCTAAATCGATACCTCGTCGATTAATTAATGTCTTTGCAACGAATTTCACAAGTTCGAATTTAATTTGATTTATGATCCCTTAAACAACAAAAATGCAAATTTTATAACATTCAAAAGCAACAAAATAAATTAAATTAGGATTACCAAGCCATTAGAAAGATAAAGAATATTCGATTATTTAAAAATATCGAGACCAGATCTTTAGTTCAGTTCTAACGACCTTTTCTCAAAAAGTTTAAATAGTCAAAAATTTCCTTTTCTTTCGCTCCCAAATTTTAAATTGAAGAATCAATTTTTTGGTGACAATGACGGGATACACTTGTAATTTAAAACCGTTAAGAACAACTTTCTTGTAAGTTAAGAAAGCTATTTTGACAGTTTTAAATTAAAAGGGTATTATCCTTAATCCGATTATGTGATTAAGTTGAGTCATGCACATGAGGCCAACATGCGTAAATTAACAGAAATAATCATCCAATCAACAAAAATATATATAAAATATTCCCACAATGCAACACTTTAAAATAGAAATTATGTACATATTTTATTACCACATATTATATCATATATATATATATATTAATATGCAATGCATAGCCATGACTTAAATGCAACAAATAAAAACATAATAACTAAAATGCAATTCTCAGAAAATAATTATGTTTATTTAAATAAGGATCAAAGCATATTAACCCAAACATTAATACCGAAAATATAAACAAAACAATTGGAATGGGCTAACACAAGAATAAACCAAAACACAAAAGCAGGACTAAATAATAACACACAAGAACTTAAGGCTCAAATGTCTAAAACAGAAAAGATTCGAATACAGCAATACTTTGGACTTAAATTAAATACGGAAAAACATGGAGTCAAAATCAGAAATAAGAAAGCAACTATTTAAGGACTAAAACGAAGCATACGAAAATTAAACGTAAAATGTCTAAAAACTTGGAAATTAAATACATTACCACAGGACTGAAAATAAATGCGCGTAAAATATGGGAACTAAGTTAAGAACACACAAACATCGATGTAAGGACTATAATGAATTGAAAGTAGAACTTAAATGGCCAGACAAGGATTAAACCACGCGGGGAACGAGTACCCTAAACCCCTAAACGACGCCGTTCAAATGCTCTGATATAAATGATATCTAGGGTAAAACATTACCTATTTTCAATTGTAAACCCCCCCCCCATTTCAACAGAGGCACCGTTCCCTCAGACCCATCTCCCCCTTCCTCTGCTCCACGATCGCGCACTGCAGACACCAGAGAAGGAGCTCGGACGCCGCTCCATCGCTGCAAGACTCGGACAGGTAAGGCCCTAATCCTAAACGAGCCTTAGCAGAACCCACGCCCTCAGCCGCCTCCACCGTAGCAGCCACCGCGGGTACACCTCTCTCCAAGCCCCGACGAGGACCCAATTCTTATTGTCAAACCAAAAAACTAACCCCCACCCCACAAAGAGAAACCGAGCTTCACAAACTCCGTCTCATGCAGCAACAGTAGCCTAGAGGCGAGATTCTTACCCTTGTTGACTCGGTGGAGTTCAGGTTTCCCCACAACAGTGATGGCTCTTCTTCAAATAATAAGGGTAAAAATCTCTCTTTGCTCTGTTCTTCTTCTTTTTTTGATGGATCTGTCGTGCGTTGGTGTTTTAGACGTTTTTTTTGGATTCGCGTGGCTGCTGATGATGTTTATTCTGCCCGGATTTTGTTACCACTAATGGTTTTTTGTTGATGAGTGTTCTCTGTTCGGTCTTCTCTATGATCTGTTATTGCCCTCCCTTTTGATGGTTGATTATCGATGCTTAAATGTTCTTCTCTTTGTGTTCATCGATGGATTCCTTTTCTGACCGAGCCCCCACTGTTATCGATCTCTCCCCAATGGCCTCGAAAACTGCTTTTGTTTATGCTTCTCACGATCTGTTGTTCCCTTCTATTTGCTGTTTGTGAACCTCTGATTGTTGAATCCCTCCTTGAAAAACCCCAAACAATTTGTTAACTTTTCTCGATGTAATGGGGTGATATGCTTGCAGGATATGGGCACCGGTATGGGCGCGGTGATGGGGAGCCGAGCCTTGTCTGCTCGGGTGTGGTGCATGGCAGGGCTGCTACTTGGTTCTGTCAGGCGTGCACGAGTGTGGGTGGCAGTGGAGCATGGGCACGGTTAGTGGAGCAACAGGGCATGGGTCTCACTCGAGAACCGGCCACTTTGCAGCTGCAATTGTGTTGTTTCAAGTGGGAGGAGCCTGCTGTTGGGTGTCTCCTTCACGTGGGCACCGGGTATGCTGAACCGGGTCGGGTCTTGGACTAGATTTGCTTTGTGGGCTCCGGATTGGGTTTGAAGTAAATGGACTCTAAATACTTAATTTGGTTTGAATCGATTTTTAATTATATTTTTATTTCTAAAAGGAAACGTATACAATATCAATCCAATTAAGCAACAAGTTTTCCAATTGCAAGCTTCCACGATTCATCACTTGAATTAATCCTTCATCGAGCACCTTCATATTAATTCGATCATCATCAAATGGATTTAAATAACCCGAATAAAATTAGGGTATTACACCACTAAAACAATAAAAAAGGAGAACCTAATCCTCCACTAAACGATCATCAGTGGAACGACCTTACCCACTAAAGCATATCATTCGGTTACCATTATAAAGGAGAAGGAAGATCGACTCGAAGAGGGGGAAGAAGTCTGGAGCAGAGAGAAAAACCAAAGAAAAAACAGAGGAGAGCCATATCCAAACAAATAATCGAAATAAATAAAAGGAGAGAGCTTTTACCTTGATCGGAGGACCATCGGGAAGTTCAAATCGTCACCGGATATTTGTTGATTCGAAAGGTAAAATATCAGATCTAGTGAGTTAAGGTTATTTTTAGGCCGATCTAGTTGAGGATCTAGGTTGAGAGTGAAGAGAGGAATATTTTGGTGTTTGAGTTTACCCCGGTCGTCGTGCGCCATTGCGGTTACCGCCGTGAACCGCCATGGCTAACGCCGGTGGCGTTTTTATTTCTTTCTTCCCCGACGGGGAAGCTTTGAGAGAACTTTGCTCTCTCTCTCCTCTCATATTGTAACATTTAAAACAAATGAAGTATATGGCTTAAACAAGCCTTTGATTTTCATATATATATATATATATATATATATATATATCATTAAACTCTGCCGTTTTGAATTTCCCTATTACTGTGTTTTTCAAACTTTTAGGGTTTAAAAATAATTTTCTGAAAATATAATTGAATAACATATGAGAATTAATTGTTTATACATCACGTGGAATTTGGTGGGAGGTTCTGACTTTTAAAATGTCCATTAAGTTGATAATCACCAACAACTCACTTTGAGTTGTATTCCAAATATTTAATGCATGATTAACGTCCCCATGCGGCACTGCCATGGTTCCAATTGGGTTCCAATAAATTTTTTTTAAGAAAATGGTAGTGTTAGTTCAACCACTAGTTGCTTTTACGTGTTTTACACATTTCTAAGGAAAATTACAGTTTAAGTATAATGGTTATTATAATTATAATCATATCATCTTAATAAATTTATTCATTTTGGGTTATAAATATGTTTCATGTTTCATTTTTAATCTTATTTGTATTAATATTTTATATGTTCAAATATTTAGATTTTAGTTATTAATTTTGTGTATTATTTGTTAATCATCATATTACGTTTTTATTGTTTTCATTTTTTATTAAAAAAATTAATTCATATTTTATTTAGATTATTATTTGTTCATTAATAGGTTTAGGATAAATATTTTGTTTTGCACTTTAATTAGTGATTAAGTTCATTTAGTCACCATCATTGTAATTAATGTTTAGGCTTATTATCAATTTAGTCCTTATCATTTTTATTTTTTTCAATACTTACTAGGTTTCTCTAATTTCTATTAATACCATTTTAGTCTTTAAATGTTTTTTTAATCTTTTAAGTTTCTATTTATGCTATTTTAATCTTTTAGGTTTATGTTTTCATCATGTTAAAGGATTTTCTTTAATTAATTAATTCGAAGGAAATTAATTAAATATTAATAAATGGATCATATTTTAACTTTACATTTGACTCAGGATTTCCATTTTTACGACAACGTGTAAGCAAAACAGTACCAATTTTGGGCGCTGTGGGGGTGCTAATCCTTCCCCACGCGTAACCGACTCTCGAACCCGCTTTAATCGAATTTTGGTAAACACAGACCAATTTTTGTCTTAAAAAATGATTTTTCTTAAAATTATTTTTAAAAGACGTTTTTTAGGTATTCGACCTACCTAACCCAAAGGCCGATGACGACTCTTTCTAAATTAATCCAAATTAAGTCATAATCACCCATTTTCCCAAAATTAAAAATCGTAACTAGTTTTTAAAACAATAAACGATTGTCCCCGAAAAAACGGTTACGACAAGTTGATTACATTTTTCTCCCCAAAGTGAAGCCACCGCAACGGGAGAAAATCAGGAGTAAAAGTTGATTTGTTTTTTGTCATACAATAATTGATTAAGAGATGATAATTGATTAAATGTTTTTATTTATTTATTGTCAGCGGCATATAATAACCCAAAGATCCATCTTCATTTTGCCAGCAGATTTACTTGGGCTTCAAGCATTCTAATTAAAATAATTACCTCACAAACACAGCCCAATTCCAAACAATTTTGGGATCAGTTAAGTATTATATTTAATATCAAAATCCAAAAGCCTTTGACCCTATTTTAATAACTTGTAACCAATTCATTCAACCAATCAAGGAAAGTGATTAAAGAGAATGTTATCCTCTTTAGAAATTCTAAATTTGAATAATTACATTTACATGATGATGTGTATGCATTATTTTTAGAGAAAATTAAACATGCTTTCAACTTTTAATAGAAGAAAAAATAGATTAAACATGATTCAACTTTTAACACAAGGAAAAGTATAATATAAGTAGTTTTTTTCCCAATAATATAAAGTGATTATAAATCAAACATGCTTTCAACTTTTAACGCAAAAAAAAAATTAAAAGTAGTAAACAAATTAAAACGTGGTCTTACATCTGTTATATCATATCATACTAATGGTAGAGTAATCCATAATCACCCTTATTTAAGTAATCAGAGCCACCGTAGTCACCGCCGTTTCTAGTAGCTAGTATCATCCGCTGTAACAGTCCTTTCCTACAATAGTCCCCACGCCGATTCGTTCATCCTGGTTCTGAGCGTTTTCAAGCTCCCCAGTATTCTCTCCTGCACCAACAACAATCATAGAATCATCATCCAATTTGAATGGTCTTCTTTTTTCTTACCACCATGGGTTTCATCATATATTTTTCTGTTTCTTTTGGCTTGTTACCGTTAACGCTGCCGTCAGATCCAGCTGTGTTGCGGCCATCGTGATGTCTGAGCAAAGCTACAATCTCCTCCTTCATACCTTTCTGGGTATCAAAATTCTTGTCATCCTCTGCATGAAGAAATTCAGACACCAATTTGTCCACAGCTTTTTTGACCGCAAGCTTCTGATCCCTCTCACTGACAAGCATCAAACGCTCATTTTCCTTTGCGTCCAAGGCAGCTATATCAGCCCTCAGCTGCTCTTCCATTTCCCTTGTTTTCTCCCTCTTATTTCCTAATTGAGCTTCATAGAGGCGTAGGATGAGCTCCATAACCTCGTGCCAGTCTAGATCCTATGTGAACAAGAGAAAAGAAAGATGTTAAAAAAATTCAAAAGGCATCAGAGGAGAAAACTTATAGAAATGGAAACCTGAGTGATCATATCAGAAGATGAAAGAAGGGATTCTGCAGCAATGGAGAATGTTGGAATTCTGGGGAAGTGGTGATTGAAAAAAAACCCTGCATAGCTTTAAAAAGAAATCAGATACTGTTTCTGTGATGGTGGGTGGGGCCCATCTTCGGATATATATGTCGTCTGTTTTAGTGGAGACAAGTTCGAGCGTTAATCCGACGTGGTGTTGCTTTATAGGCTAATCGATTATGCTTTTAGTACTTTTTCTTTTCCTTACTTTCTCAAAACATAGTTGGATCCGCAAATAATGAAATAATCGAGTTCACACTCTTGCTACTCTACTTGCTCATTAATTTTTTAAAATTTATGGTTATTTGGTCTAATGATTGAGAGGGATTCTTGTGTTAATGTTCATTTTGTATTAAGTGGAAGATTTCCCTTTAAGTCTTTCTTTTTGTTGGATACTATTGTTGTTTGTAGCATGTTAATGTTTCTTTAAAAAAGTTTAAACGAGACTGATTAAAATAATAATATTATTTTCAATCAATAATTATTTAGATTAGTGAGATAAGATATCGGATTTTATTTAATAATATCAGGGTTTAAATCCTAACATTTGTGAATGATACAAATTAAATTGGGAGATTACCCCATAATGAGTCTATAATATTTAATCTAGATTAATTTATAAATAAATAAATATCAATAATTATAACAAAATAATAATAACGTCTTTGATATTTAATATAATTTTATAGATAATATATTTTACGATTACAATCAATACTTTATCAAAATTACATATTACTTGATTAAATAATAATCTAATATCATACAAAAGATAGTTCCATACATATATATAAATTAACTAAGTCAATAGCATATGGAGAAAGGAATAAAAGAAAGTAATTGACTAGTTGTTGGACCAAAAAAAATGGGAATTAAAGCAACCAAAGATGACTAAAGTTCTATAAACCAACTTTAGAATTTATAAGAATCTCTAACTTTAACCGACAACTTTTTTAACGCTAGGCAGACAGTACCGAATAAATTCAAAAAGATAACTGTCCATGATTTGTATGATGTTCAAACTTCGATTTTAACCGACTTAATTGGTTGAATTAAAGTTTTGTGATTAATCGGTCGGTTAATTATAGGTTCAATTGATTAATGATTAATAATTTTTTTTAAATTCAATTATCAGTTAATTTAATTTGAAATTGATTAATTAACAGATTTAGTTGAAATTATTAAATATTTAATATTATATATTGGTTACAAAAAGTTTAGATAATGGGTGGCTCACCCAGTCCAGGGTCAAACATACTTAAGCCCGAATTGAGATTTACATAAGAATTTACATATTGTCCGCCAAGAGTGACGGTGGTAGAAATCGAACTTTGGCTTTACAAGCTCAAATTCCTGAATTCCAAAAACTTGTGACAACATTCATTGGGGTATTATTTATATATTACTTAGGCTTAAGTGTGTTTAAACTTCTGTTTTAACCAACCGAATTAACCCGAAAATATTAATTTTTATTATATATGATATATATCATTTATAAATTCCAGATAATTCGGTTAACTGATCGATTAACCAATTTTATTAAATTACATTAATAATTTTTGAAAAAAAATCTGCTCAATTAACAATTAAAGGGAAAAATATTTAGTTAATAGAATTTAAGAATTTTAGTTCTATCGGCTAACTGAATCGACTGATTGAACACTCCTACTGATTTGGACTTAGATTCATTGATTGATATATGTAGTTTTCTAATAGTGTTGAGTAATTATAAAGTAGTATTTGTTCAATACTTTTCTTAGCTGATTAACAATGTGTACACCCTACAAATGTAACTACACAAATTTAAATTCTTTAAGAAAAATTATATTCTCATTTATCACGGATCACTCAATGAGTTTTTGATTGGTATATCTATTAGTTTTTATTAGATTAATATATGTATAGATAAAGTAGAAAGGGTCATTTGATGAGAGTGTGAGAATTATACCAAAGGAGAAAAAGGTGTCCTTCCTTTTTTTCATGTAAAAGTTGTATTATATATTTTGAATGTTCGATAGTTGTATAATCATTAGTATATGAGAGAAAATATAATAAACAATAGATTCTATTCAAATTATTATAGACATATTATTGGATTAAAAATCATGCTTATGGGCACATATGGATTGTCATTGAAATATTAAATTTGAATATTGATATTTATTTTTAGACGGCTTAACTAAAGCAAAAATAAAATCAGTTATGGAAAATATCTAATTTTTAAAACATAAAGGTTATGTACATGTCACTTAGGATATGTTAGTATTGATCAACCCAAAGAAAGACTAATAATTGACATAATCTGTAACACCCAAATCCAGTCCGACCCGAAGATCATACGGTCAAGGCACTACAAGGACCACCCAAGTGGCTAACCTAAAAATTTTCTTTAAAATCATTTGTAAAACATCAATAAATCATTCATCATAATATAAAAGAAATCATAAAATAGAGAGATTTAAAAAATACGAGAAGCTCCCAATACGTACAAATACATATACTAAGTTTAGATCAAAAGAAAGTTATGACTTAAATTAATACAAGGTCCACATAAATACATGCCCTCTAAAAGACTTAAGACATACTCTAAAGGACATATGATCTGGAATGTATCTGCACAATAGGCTCCTCGTTGACCCTCTACTGACCTGCGAACGGAAAAAATTCTAAACGCTGAGCTCACAACCTTAGTGCTATGATAATAACTATGCAATACTACGTGCATCCATTACATGAACATGTATGTACATAAAGTAACGGGTATGCAAAACTGTAGTAACAAATATTAGATAGGTCTAGTGGTGTGGTCGGAGGAATTTTCTGCATCTCAGACGACACACTAGCCTACCTAGGCTACTTGAGGGTCTCGAGGTAAGAATTAGAATTTTACGTGCATCGAAAGCTTATATCCCTAGCCCACATATAAGCTCTCAAGCATTGGGCACAATCCTAGATTTTACGTACATTGGATATATATACCCGATTAACTATATCCAGATATTACATAATGAAGGATAGTCGTCAGACTGCTAAAGTAACTCGGATGTCCTGACTGTTTCCCGAGCGTTACACAATGGCTAGTCTCATGCCATCCTAACTTGTTTGGTTTATAGTTTCATTTATTGATACTTTAGTTGTTTTCATTTGTAGTCGTTTACTCAAGGCTTTTATGCCCCTAAATTTCCCAAATTCGAACACTTGAACCAATTGGGTTAACTACCCTTATGGGGTAGTATCAATACTATACCTTTGGTATCAATACTACCTCGAGTACCGATACAAAAAATGGCTTCAATGTTTTGAAAAATATCTCAATATCAATACCCTTATGGGGAGTATCAATGATATACCTTTGGTATCAATACTAATGGGAGTATCGATACCAAAAATGGCTACTGGAATCCTTTAAGCGCCCTCAGTATCGATACCACCCTATGGGTATCCAAACTAGACCAACAATCATGTCACCGAGCTTTATTGTTGAGATCTTACTAAGGTTATTAAACAATAGTTAAGTCTTATTTGAGATCCTAGGGAGTAAAAGTAGTCACCTTTATTGTTGAAAAACATCATACGTGGAATTTACCATGAATTACTCATACATGTTCCATGAACTCAAATAACCATTTATACATATATAATAATCTACATATGGTATGGACAAGTTAGAAACGTGTTACCTTACTAGAAAAAGTACTCAAATCACCCAAGGACTAGCTTCTCCTTGCCCATTGCCCTAAAATTTTCTCATTTCTCTTTTACAAATCAAGACAAAGGTAATGAGTTGTTAACTCATTTTGGAACTTAGGGTAATGCCAGAAACAATTTCTACAACTCAAAAATCTAAAAAATGGACTGAAATCCAAAGATTCAATAAACCCCACTAAACCCACTTTTGGATAACACAACCAAAACTTGCAAAGGAGGGCTAGAATTGAAACTTGGAGGGAGTAGATTACGGTTCTTAACTTGGAAGTTTCAAATGATGCTTGGAATTCTTAAAGTTCCAAACTTTGCTTGTGTTTGAAGAGGAATAAGGGAGATGAAGAATAATGAAGAAAACAACGGGAGTGTGTGGGTTAAAAAGGTGCCCAAACATAAGATCATCGCGAATAAATGGAATTTAACCTTTGTGTTGAAAAATAGGTTAGTTACTAATTTAGTCCTTCCTTTTTTGGTCCATGCTTAAAATTATCATTTCTATCTCCTATTGGGCTTAAGCAAAGCCTAAACTATAACTCACTTGGGTTAGGCCTTTCATAAGTTAAGGAAATTTATTTCAAGGTCGGCATGGATAAACCCAAAACACCTAACCCATAATTTAGGTCGTTAAAACTCTTTTTCCTAAGAAATATTTCACCTTTGAAATTTATTTGAATAGAAGAAATGAGGGTACTAAAGTTGTATATCCTCATCAACCTCTCATGTTACCTCCTCTGCACCATGATTTCTCCACAAAACTTATTACCAATGTGATCATCTTTTTCTCAATTCCTTAATGTCCCTAGCTAATATCCTGATCAGTTCTTCCTCATAGGTCATGTCCTGCCTCACCTCAATCTACTCAGTATCTCTTAATCATGGACACATGAAAGGATACATTCTAGCTATGGAGGTAAGGCTAATCGATAAGCCTCTGGTCCAACTCTCTCCAATACTTTGTACGTGGAGTCAACTTTCCCTTTCGCCCAAACTGAAACACCTTTTTCTATGGGGAAACCTTGAGTAACACTTTGTCTCCCTCTGTAAATTCTATATCCTTGCTCTTTAGGTCGACATACAACCTCTACATGTCAGAAGCCTCTTTCAACCAACTTTGAATCAAGTGAACTTTATCCTAGGTTTATAGGATCAAGCCATGACCTATGATCTTACC